GAGGTATTCTTTACATTGAGTATTGTATGAGAGTCCTAATAGCAAATGAAGTAGTTTTAGTGCTCTTAGCATTAGAATTCCTCAACTGGTCTCCATAGCTACAGTTTAAAATGTATAACCTGAAAATGAAGTTATCTTTACATTATAAGAGCACATCATGATCTATGTAAAAAAGTGTTCATTTGGTGTATTTTTTTAAAAAAGAGAAAGCACTTTCATATTGACAAGTAGCATGTGTATGAATTTTAGATTTTTCTATTTGTTGTGTCTATTCGGTGAAATAAAATGAGAAAATGTTTGTTGATGGCAACGTTAACTATTAAATGAAAGCACCTTATACTCTGCTGCTTAAACTTGCTTGTAATTGCACCTTTGTTACCTGCACATTTTCACATAGAATATTGTTGTAACATTGCTTCTTGTGGGTCTGGATGGAAGATTAGTGGGCCTGTAGGCTCATTTATTTATATTGTTTATATTACAATAATATATTGTAGACCAGTTGTAAGTTCATTTCTTTACAAATAAAAGCCTGGGTTTTATTTTGGCTGGTTATTGAAATTTTTTAAGCTTATGAGATATGGGAAATCTTTCTAAGTAAAATAAAATGCTTAATGAGGGGTTCGAAATAAGCCAGGCACCAGTGGCTCACTCCTGTAATCCTAGCTACTCAGGAGGCAGAGATCAGAAGGATCACAAAATTCGAAGCCAGGCCAGGCAAATAGTTTGCAAGACCCTATCTCGAAAAAACCTGTCACAAAAATAGGGTTGGTGGAGTGTCTCAAGGTGAAGACCCTGAGTGCAAACCCCAGTACTGCATAAATAAATATAAATATATATATATATTAATTATATATATATATATATATATATATATATATATATATATTATATATATATATTACTTTTTGTTTCCACTGTATGGCCAGTTGGCAGGCAGTACATTCAGAGGGAAAACTGAAGTGAAGGGGCCAGCTGTGGACATTCAAAAATGTTTAGACACCCTATTCACTTGAACCAAGTATTATTTCTATAAACTTTGGATACAGTTGGATCTCTGTTTACATTTTTTTTTAATACAACAATGTGATTTATTCCTATTTTCACAAACTTTTTTTTTTTTTTTTTTAACAGCACTAGAGCTTGAACTCAGGGCCTACACCTTGAGCCACTCCACCAGTCCTTTTTGTGTTAGGTATTTTCGAGATAGGGTCTCACAACTTACTTGCCCAGGCTGGCTTCGTTTTCTTTTCTGCCTTTTCTTTTTTGGTGCTGGGATCAAACCCAGGGCCTCGCACATGCTAGGCAAGCGCTGTACCACCGAGCTACATCCCAGCCCCCCAGGCTGGTTTCGAATGGCGATCCTCCTGGTCTCTGCCTCCTGAGTAGCTAGGATTACAGGCATGAGCCACCAGAACCTGGCTTCTTGTTTTTGAACGTAGAGCCTCATGCTTGCTAGGCAGATGCTTTACCACTTGAGCCACACCCTCAACCCTTCTTTGCTTTCAGTTTTTCTTCAGATAGGGTCTTGCCCCAAGAGCCTATCTATGCCTCCTGCCTACCTGGGATCACAGGTGTATTGCACCATGCAATGTAGTAATTAGTTCCCCTCCTTGCAGTCTTCTGTTAACAGATCCTGATCACAGGAATGGGTGTATGATTTGCGTTAGGCTAGTCATTTCCTAAAATTTTTATATCTGAAGCTAGAAGGTGCTGTAAATGGGAATAATGAAAGTCCTGGGCTATTGGCAGACAGAATGCCACTGTGTGAGCAAATGAAGACGGATATCCCAGAGAGATTTTACTATGTCATCTGTCCGATGTCCAGCTTTTTCCTAGAATGGCTCAGGCTGGATTGTTATTATAGATAGTGTATTATCTGAAATACTTGAAACTAGAAGCTTTTTAGAATTCAGAGGTTTTTTTTTTTTTTTTTTTTTTTTTTTTTCATTTTTCTTTTATTATTCATATGTGCATACAAGGATTGGTTCATTTCTCCCCCCTGCCCCCACCCCCTCCCTTACCACCCACTCCACCCCCTCCCGCTCCCCCCCTCAATACCCAGCAGAAACTATTTTGCCCTTATCTCTAATTTTGTTGTAGAGAGAGTATAAGCAATAATAGGAAGGAACAAGGGGTTTTGCTGGTTGAGATAAGGATAGCTATACAGGGCATTGACTCACATTGATTTCCTGTGTGTGGGTGTTACCTTCTAGGTTAATTCTTTTTGATCTAACCTTTTCTCTAGTTTCTGGTCCCCTTTTCCTATTGGCCTCAGTTGCTTTAAGGTATCTGCTTTAGTTTCTCTGCGTTAAGGGCAACAAATGCTAGCTAGTTTTTTAGGTGTCTTACCTATCCTCACCCCTCCCTTGTGTGCTCTCGCTTTTATCATGTGCTCATAGTCCAATCCCCTTGTTGTGTTTGCCCTTGATCTAATGTCCACATATGAGGGAGAACATACGATTTTTGGTCTTTTGAGCCAGGCTAACCTCACTCAGAATGATGTTCTCCAATTCCATCCATTTACCAGCGAATGATAACATTTCGTTCTTCTTCATGGCTGCATAAAATTCCATTGTGTATAGATACCACATTTTCTTAATCCATTCGTCAGTGTGGGGCATCTTGGCTGTTTCCATAACTTGGCTATTGTGAATAGTGCCGCAATAAACATGGATGTGCAGGTGCCTCTGGAGTAACAGTCTTTTGGGTATATCCCCAAGAGTGGTATTGCTGGATCAAATGGTAGATCGATGTCCAGCTTTTTAAGTAGCCTCCAAATTTTTTTCCAGAGTGGTTGTACTAGTCTACATTCCCACCAACAGTGTAAGAGGGTTCCTTTTTCCCCGCATCCTCGCCAACACCTGTTGTTGGTGGTGTTGCTGATGATGGCTATTCTAACAGGGGTGAGGTGGAATCTTAGTGTGGTTTTAATTTGCATTTCCTTTATTGCTAGAGATGGTGAGCATTTTTTCATGTGTTTTCTGGCCATTTGAATTTCTTCTTTTGAGAAAGTTCTGTTTAGTTCACTGCCCATTTCTTTATTGGTTCATTAGTTTTGGGAGAATTTAGTTTTTTAAGTTCCCTGTATATTCTGGTTATCAGTCCTTTGTCTGATGTATATTGGCAAATATTTTCTCCCACTCTGTGGGTGTTCTCTTCAGTTTAGAGACCATTTCTTTTGATGAACAGAAGCTTTTTAGTTTTATGAGGTCCCATTTATCTATGCTATCTCTTAGTTGCTGTGCTGCTGGGGTTTCATTGAGAAAGTTCTTACCTATACCTACTAACTCCAGAGTATTTCCTACTCTTTCTTGTATCAACTTAAGAGTTTGGGGTCTGATATTAAGATCCTTGATCCATTTTGAGTTAATCTTGGTATAGGGTGATATACATGGATCTAGTTTCAGTTTTTTGCAGACTGCTAACCAGTTTTCCCAGCAGTTTTTGTTGAAGAGGCTGCTATTTCTCCATCGTATATTTTTAGCTCCTTTGTCAAAGATAAGTTGCTTATAGTTGTGTGGCTTCATATCTGGATCCTCTATTCTGTTCCACTGGTCTTCATGTCTGTTTTTGTGCCAGTACCATGCTGTTTTTATTGTTATTGCTTTGTAATATAGTTTGAAGTCAGGTATTGTGATACCTCCTGCATTGTTCTTTTGACTGAGTATTGCCTTGGCTATTCGTGGCCTCTTGTGTTTCCATATAAATTTACAGTAGATTTTTCAATCTCTTTAATGAATGTCATTGGAATTTTGATGGGAATTGCATTAAACATGTAGATTACTTTGGGGAGTATCGACATTTTTACTATGTTGATTCTACCAATCCATGAGCATGGGAGATCTCTCCACTTTCTATAGTCTTCCTCAATCTCTTTCTTCAGAAGTGTATAGTTTTCCTTGTAGAGGTCTTTCACATCTTTTGTTAGGTTTACACCTAGGTATTTGATTTTTTTTGAGGCTATTGTAAATGGAATTGTTTTCATACATTCTTTTTCCGTTTGCTCATTGTTAGTGTATAGAAATGCTAATGATTTTTCTATGTTGATTTTATATCCTGCTACTTGCTATAGCTATTGATGATGTCTAGAAGCTTCTGAGTAGAGTTTTTTGGGTCTTTAAGGTATAGGATCATGTCGTCTGCAAATAGGGATATTTTGACAGTTTCTTTACCTATTTGTATTCCTTTTATTCCTTCTTCTTGCCTAATTGCTCTGGCTAGGAATTCCAGTACTATGTTGAATAGGAGTGGAGATAGTGGGCATCCTTGTCTGGTTCCTGATTTTAGAGGGAATGGTTTTAATTTTTCTCCGTTAAGTATAATGCTGGCTGTAGGTTTGTCATATATAGCTTTTATAATGTTGAGGAACTTTCCTTCTATTCCTAGTTTTCTTAGAGCTTTTATCATGAAATGATGTTGGATCTTATCAAAGGCTTTTTCTGCGTCTATTGAGATGATCAAGTGGTTTTTGTCTTTGCTTCTGTTAATGTGGTTTATTACGTTTATTGATTTTCGTATGTTGAACCACCCCTGCATCCCTGGGATGAAGCCTACCTGGTCGTGGTGAATAATCTTTTTGATGTGTTGCTGAATTCGGTTTGCCATTATTTTGTTGAGGATTTTTGCATCAATGTTCATTAAGGAGATTGGCCTATAGTTCTCCTTTTTGGAGGTGTCTTTGCCTGGCTTTGGGATAAGTGTAATACTGGCTTCATAAAATGTGTTTGGCAGTTTTCCTTCCCTTTCTATTTCATGGAACAGTTTAAGGAGGGTTGGTATCAGTTCTTCTTTAAAGGTCTGATAGAATTCAGCAGAGAATCCATCAGGTCCTGGACTTTTCTTTTTGGGGAGACTCTTGATTGCTGCTTCAATTTCATTTTGTGTTATAGGTCTATTCAGGTGATTAATTTCCTCTTGGTTCAGTTTTGGATGATCATATGTATCTAGAAATCTGTCCATTTCAGAGGTTTTTTTGATTTTGGAATATTTGCATAGATTTTACTGAGCAACCCTAATCCAAAGATCTGAAACTTTTAAAGTTTTAGATTTCAGAGTATTTTGGAATTTGGAGCATCTCAACTTAGGGATGCTTCACCTGTACTTGCAACTCAAAGAATTCCTAATTATCCAGCAGCATTTTCTAGCTCATCCTTTTTGGTGATTAGTGCTCAAGTAAGTGGCCACAGACATTGTACATTTTCAAGTGAAAAACAATTAGGAATCAACTTTCTTCCCATTTGACTCTGAAAGCATTCTTTTGAGAAACAATGAGTGGGACTAAGTGTGTGTGCAGCATAGTTAGTGGTAAAGAGCATGAACTCTGGGTGGAGCCAGACTTCTGGATTTGAATCTCACCTCCCCCAATCACTAGCTCTGTGCTCTTAAATGGATTTCTTAATCTTCATGTTTTACTTTCCTCATCTGTAAGGCAGGGATAACAGTATCAGAGAGTTGTGAGAGGATTAAATATCAGTTGCTCCATGTAAAATTCTTAAAACAGCCAGGCACATAGAAAGCACTTCTCAAGTCATTGTTACTGTTAGTGCCACAACTAGTACTTTAAAAACTGACACTATAAATAAAGTAATCTATATAACATGTAAGGCTAAGTAGTATGACATATACACTTAAGTACATACATAAATGAATAAGTACATAGGTCATGATGTAAAAATAAGTAAAAGCCACCAGTTTTGAAAATTTTGTTTGGATTCATGCAACATGAATGAAAATGAATGTAAATGGTGAACAAAGTATCTATGGAGCTTAATTCATAAAGCAACTTCAGATCATTCTGCCACTCACATTGCTTTATGTCAGTGTTTCTTAACTGGAGGCAACTGTGGCCACCCACAGGGGCAGTTGGCTGTGTAGATGCTTCTGGTTGTCACTGCTGGGGAAGGAGGTGCTACTGGCATCCAATGGGCAGAGGGTAGGGATTCTGATAAACATCCTCCAGTGCACAGAGCAGCCTCCTACAACAAACAACAGTCCAATCCAAACCCTCAGCAGTGCTGAAGCTTTTACTTTACCTTGAGATAATTAATGTTGCTAATGTAATGATGATTTGACATGCAAATATGTGATGCATAAGTGATAACTGAAAATGAAGCTGGTATTCCATGGAAAGAGATTAGGTCATTACTCTCAATTCCATAAGGTGAGCAACTATTGAAACTATTCTGCCAGGAATATTTGTATTAAGAACAGAGAAACCAGGCATGGTGGGTCACTCCTGTAATCCCAGCAACTCAGGAGGTGAAGATCCTCCAAGGAGGAACCTTGTTCAAGGCCAGCCTGAGTAAAAAGTTAACAAGACCCCATCTCAACCAAGCTGGACCTGGTGGTACATGCTTGTTATCTCAGCTTTGTGGGAGACCATAGGTAGAAGAATTGTGGTGTGAGTCTGCCCCTGGGCAGTCTACCCTACCTGAAAAGTAACTAAAGCAAAAAAAAAAGGGCTGGAGGTGTGGCGCAAGTTAGAGCAACTGCCTACAAATGTGAAGCCCTGAATTAAACCCCAGTATCGCCACACACACACACACACATTCAAAAACTAGCTAAATTTATACCAAGTATTTCAAGAAAATGCTCTTGATTTTCTTTGATAAAATGTTTAAGTTCATATTTTAAAGGTGGAAGTGAAATCTCAGTTACTTGACATTTTGCATCCAGTAGTTTTTTTGGGTAAAGCAAACATCAGTATGGCCAAATGTTAACACAATTATTTCACTTTTGTATTAACAACAAATATTATTAATACAGTATTCCTAAACAGGCAGAAAAGTTTCTTGGCATCATTGTTTTAGGACTATTTAGTAAATAATAAAGTCCTAGAAGACACATGGTTATAAAAGCTAGGGAGACATTTTTTGGTATGCCCTGAGTTGCCATTCTTTCCCATTTGTACAATTATAATTCTTGCTGTAGTTTTAATTAGTTTAAACATGGCACTGTTTTAACAAATTATTATTGATACAGGCTTTTCAGTTTGCTCAACATTTTGAATTATAAGTGGAATGAAGCAGCATTTCCAGTTGACAAATGGATCAATAAGTAACACAGTATCTCTTAAATAAAGCTTATCACAATTAAACCAGTAAACTGCAGCAATGAGAAAACTATTGCCAAAGTAGAGCCAAGGAATGTTCATCTCAACATATGCTGGAATCTGTACTTTCAGCAAAAGGATGACTATCTGAAGTAGTACAAATGGTAACCAGGTACCAAGAAAACAGACAATGAGCTTGGGTAAGAGTGTTTTTTTAGAGTTCACAGTATAACTACAGTGGGATGAAAAAGGAAAATACAGGATAGTCTCATTCACATAGGAAGTTATCCTCATAGCCCGTATCAAGGTAATAACTTCTGACCAAGAGGTTATAAAAGCCACAAATAAAATCACCATCATAGAAAGTGAGAGCCAGTAACTCTGAATGCTGACATAGGAAGGACATTGGTAAAAACCATTCTGTGCCTTCAGACTTTGGTAGATAGATGGATCTCCCAAAACATAAGCAAGGACTGAAATCCAAATTAAAATTACTGTAAAGAAATAAAATAACTTTTGACCCTTAGATGAAAGCTTTGTGGTTTTTTGAGAAATTCAAGCAATAATCTACACAAGCTATTAGGAAAACTGGATAATGCAAAAAACCGTAAGTAAAGGAAATAATTTGAGTAAATAGGCAGATATGGTATTTAGTAAACCTAATGCCTAAAAGTACAAAATCCCTGAAACAGGATATAATGGAAATGTTTACCAAAAGTAAAAGATCGACCAATGCTAGTGAAATGCAAAAATATTCCATAAAACTTTGATAGGTTTTTTTTCTTCTCATTCCTAGTGTGAGGATATTTAAAAATATTTTCCCAAGTATGATCAAGAATAACATGCAGTTAACATCTAGAGGCTGATTTGATGGGTGGAACTGGTATTGTAAAGAACAGTTCTCTGAAGAAAGAGCTGTCATATTTTCAGTTCAACTTCAAGCCAACCTGCTGAAACATGTATGATAAAACGCTGCTTCACTTTATTTTCCATCCCTGCAAAAAAAGTGAAAAGAAAACCTTGATGTTATCTTCATGCTATCCCTATTTTAAAACTTTACACAGCAAACATTCTCAAAAAAATCTAATTTAATTCAATCATTTCCCCAAATAATGAATATATAAATAGGAATTACATTTCTCATAACACTTAATAGAATACAGATCAATATGATCAAGAATGATGAAGAATTAGTTCTGAGACCCAGTGGTCCAGAACTCTGAGGTCTTTAAATCAAAATGTTATATACGTAAATGACTGCTATATTAAATACAACGCTGAACAACTTGTAAAAGATATAAATACTTATATCTACTGGAGCCAAAACACATGTCTAAAATATCAGTCAGATGGTAACACTGAGAACAGTCACTGATTGCTTTTATCTTAGTCCTGCTGTGACTCCTTTGGCAGTGAAATTTAGAATAGCACTTTTCACGTTTTTTGGTCTAGGTATCTTTTGCTGAAGCTAGAAAACTTGATGGTTCAGCTGGAAATAATGGGAACACAGTGGAAGGAAGGAAGAGATGGATCTTCTGGGTAATGTCTTTCAGAAAGAACACAGGGAAGGACTCCTAGGAACCTTAGCATGACAGCCCGGGGCTTGCTCCCCACGACCAAAAACAACCAAGAAGGTGGTAAAGAAGCAAAGTTGAGGCTTAGGTGATAAATGCATGGAAAAGCAGGAAAAAGAGGATAAATGGAAGAAGACAACAGAGGAAGAAATCAGGAAAGAATGGAAGGGAAGGAAATTCCAGAAATTTATCCTTTAAAAAAAGCTTGGGTTGTAGTTCAGTGATAGAATGATTTCCTAGCATGCATGCAAGGCCATGTGGGTTAGATCCTCAGCACTGAAAAAAAACCCCAAAACCTGACAAATAAGCAATCAAAACCCCCAAGAAACAAAATCAAGCCCAAACAACAAAGAACAACAAACCCACCCACAAATGTCAATTGAGATGGGTTAAAAGGGTTCCATAATGATATGGAACATCATATAGAAGTTATAAAGGTGTATGTAGTCATTAAAGATGTTTGTCAATGTAGGAGGAAGTTTCAGTTTTCTAGTGAAAACTATAACTTTTTTATACTCATTAAATTTTAAGCCTTGTGAATTTTTTTACCTGTTAAAATGTCACAATAAAAAAGTCAAATTTCTACAATATGTTAAACATAGGTTATAAAATTATGTATCCAATAATTTTTATAAGAAATTACACATGCATAAAAAGATTAAAATGGTACCCATCAAGTTATCAATATGGTAGAACTGTACTTGTTGGGTCTTCTATATTTCCTAAGCATTAAGGAATAAAATAAGGGACTATTATGTCTGAAAGGTGAAAGAAGTGAATTTCCCTAAAAGCAGATCACTGATGACTGAACAATTTCAAGGATGAATGGTGAAGAGACTGAGGATTAAAAAAAGAGTGAGAGAAGTTATCAGTGCTGATGACAGATTAAATTCTATCTCAGGGCCATAAATATATTGGGTTATAAACTCACTAAGATATAATCTATTTGTACACACATATGTAAAGAGAGTTTTAAAAATAACAGTATTTATTTTCATAACTATAGGTACAAAAGAACCAGCCAAGCAAGCACTTTCCTATGCTCAAGGTTTTCTTTTTATACTTGGATATGCTACAGTTTAACTTGACCCTATCTGAAGAAGTTCCAATCCAGATTCAACATACAAGGACAAAGAAACATAGCTGTCAACTTAACAAATGCCTCTGGCCACATAAGTGGGGTTGCTTAGATAAGGAAGCCAAGATGGAATCAGACCACACAAAGTTCTCCTTGGGCCAAGAAAAAAAACAGGCTTAGTTTTAAACCAGCAAATGCTGGTTTAAAATGGGAATGAGGGGGTCATTTTAAAAAAATGAGTATTTAGGATAAGAGAAGCAAGAGAAAATTCTCTGTATCTAACATTATCCTTTATAACTTTTATCCATACTCAAATTAAAAGCTAAGTAGGCACCATCCAAAGAATGGTCCCCAAATTCCTGTTTCATCACTGATCGCCACAGGTGTTCTGAAGAGGAGGTAGGGGGCTCAGCTGCAGCCACCAAGGCCTAACCAAGAACCTCTTCAGAAGAGGACTGGGTGAAAGAACAGCGGAAATGGAGTAGTGAGACAATCACAGTGCTGGAAGACATACAACCGGCGGCAAGAACAAGCAGTTAAAAGGGAGCACGATGGAAAATCAGATTTATGGTCATTTTTGGTTCCTGAATACTATGGTTGTGAAAACCAACACTTTCTTAACTATTTTTAGATATTCTTACATGAGGGAATTTTATATATGTACCCCACAACTCCCATACACCACTACATTTTGGTTTCACTCTTTTTTTTGTTAGTACTGGGGTTTGAACTCAGGGCTTTGTACTTGCAAGGCAGGCACTGTCCTGCTTGAGCCACACCTCCAGCCACACACCACTACAAATACTCAAAATTCCAATATTTTGTTCTTTAAATTGGCTCCCAGGATAAGACAAAAATCCTTTGGTAAGCTACCTGTCTTAAATGTTCCCTTGAAAAATGTTCACAGTAGTTACAGGAATTCAGAGATTTATAAAATATGGTCTTTTTCCTGCATAATTTTTAACTACTTATGAATCAACCCACACACCTCATATGTGACTTAAAAGTTAATTCTGGAAGTACTTTTCAAGACATCAATCTTGTCATGGGCTTGCTTTGTGATCTGGCCCAGTTTGGAAGCATGAGCAGGGCCTGGAGGAAACAAAACACGGTTTATAACACAGTTCTTAAGCACACACTTACTCTCCAGTAGGTCTTCTTCACCAGTGAACTTTCTATTTTTTTTGCAGTTTTACTGTTGCTTCTTTGCATTTCATTTTACCATGCCAGAATACCACGTGAGCTCCCTCTGTGTGAAAGAAAACAAAAATAACCATCATCAATAGCCATCTTAATAAGCAGAGCCCATATAGCTAACTGTCTCCAGATCACTGCTGAGAAAAACTAACTTTCTGTGGGATCACAGGGAGGAGGAGGAGGTCTGGACTGAAACTCCACCAAAGATGCTGAGAGAAGGGCACACATGACATGGTGCATGTTTAAAGAAATCTTGCTTTTCACAGAAGTTTCACCCACAGGCTTCAGTGTCTTAAACCAGCAGTTCTCAAAGTGGCTTTACTTTAGGATCCTTTGACACTTGTATGCTAAAAATAACATTTTTAAAATGAAAAAATTACTATATTTTCCCAAACAAAGATACTATTGAGTAAACTGTCATTGTTTCACATTTCCCAAATTGCTTCAGTGTCTGGCTTAACAGCAGACAACCCGATTTTCATTTATATTGAATCCTTTGAGGTGCCTGCCACAGCATCATGTGGCTTCTGGGAAGGTCTCTCTGCATTCATGAAATGGAGAATAAACTGGGTTAATAACTGCAAGTATTATGTCATGTGCAATCGTAGGAAGGTCAAGTGAGACCATGTGCATTGAGCAGTAGGGTGGGAAGGTAAGCACGGTCAATATTAACCTCTGATTTGTTGTTGTGGAGAAAATGGAATTAGTGCTGCAGCTCTGTCTGTGAGCCTTGTGAATGGAAGGAGCCTAGGAGACACGATTAATTGAGCCTTGTCAGGGTTTTACAGACCTCTTACTTAGTTCTAACAATAGTCACGAAAAATATATGTTATTTAATTATGGCTCAACTCACAACTGGCAATGTAGAAAGGGACCCAATTTATGTATGAAAGAGCTTTTTAAAACACCACAGAAATTAGAGTAACTATGTTGATTACTAATCCCCACAAGAGACCATGACTAGCTGCTTAATTGGTAATAAATTTTTACTCCTCCAAAAGGTAAATACAAATTCTTGAGACATATAGTTCTTGCTTGATGATATGTATCCAAATTCAGTGAAAAATGTCACTTTCTGATAATAGATGCTTTGTATTCATTCACATAATAGATTCCATATAGAAAATTAATACAGAAAGCAAAGATTTGGGGCTGGCTGAGTGGCTCAAGTAGTAGAGTGTCTGCTTAACAAGCATGAAGCCCTTCAACCCCACTTTCACACACACCCACAAAAAACCCAAATGCACAGAAAACAAACATTTTAGCAAGAGGTTATATAAGTTCTGTGATGAAAACGAGTTACTGAAGCAGGTACAGTGGAAGTTACTCATCCTTCTCTATCCTTCAGTACCCTACCCTGCAGACTGCTATCTAGTCCAGACCACATCCCCAGATACACTGCAACCAGCTACCTGTGTATCTTCCCAGAGATATTTTAAAGCAAAAACAGGGCTGGTGGAAGGGCTCAAGGTGAAAGCCCTGAGTTCAAGCCCCACTACTGCAAAAAAAAAAAAAAAAAACAAAAAAATGTAAGTCAGGATACAATAGAGACACCTGTATACTGATGTCCATCACAACACTATTCACAATACCAAGCTATGGAAACAACAGAGGTGCCCTACAACTGATGAATGGATCATCATCCATTCATCACACAATGAATGTGTGTTATAAATACACAATGGAGTATTACTCAGCCATAAGGAATAATGACTTGTGGTTTGAGGGTAAATGGATGCACGTGGAGGACATCATGTCAAGTGAAGTTAGCCATGCTCAGAAAGACAAAGGCCACATGTTTTCTCTCATATGTAGAAGATAGATCCAAAAGATAAACACATACATAAACCAAGCATGATCGTATACAAACTCAGAGGTAGAACATGTTTATAACAGTGGAACTACTCTATGGAACTCAGGCAGAGAGGGAAAGGAAAACAGAATGATAGAGTTAACAGTATCAAAATATATTACATCTGTGCAAGTCGAGGATAAACTGATGTGTACTGACAGCTGTTGAAAATGAGGGGTGGGAGGTAAAAGGGTAAGAGAGAGCAGTGGAAGGGGCTGAATGTACCAAAGTAAAGTACACCCACAGCAGGGACATGTTGAGAAACTCCTTGGAACATCAACTTAAATATTAATAACGAAAGACAGGACTGTAAAATAAGTACAGTGTGGGTGTGCATGTGGGGTACTTACTGGAGGGGAGAAGGTGAATGAAGGTATATGGTGGATGGACTTCATATGCTTATATGAAATAGAACAAAGAAATCTCTTGCAATTGCTTTAGGTGGGGCGAGGAGGGAGTCTGGAGAGATGGTGGGAGTGAGCTAACCAATGTACAATATAAGCCTATTTGGAATTGTCACAATGTATTTCCCTGTACAATGAATATATCCTAATAAAAAATTTAAAAAAGAATGAGAAAAAATCATTGCATTAAGCTACTGAGGTTTTTGTGATCATTATTTATAGCCTATCCTGATTAACATAACACCATATTACTCTCTGTATCCTTTGAAATGTTTTTTTAACCTCTTGTATTAGTTATAATATCAGAATAAAAAACGATAGGAGAAAAATAACTTTGAAAAGCAATAGTACTAATATAAGAAAACTGGCAAAAATTAGTTGCTTTTTGTACTTTCTTCTGATTTTCATATATTTATCATCTACAGTCATCTGAATTTAATGACCTAATTGTTTGAGTCTCACAAATATTAAGCTCAGCCTATGTGCCCAGAATATATTAAGGTCTACTAGCTTTACAGGACAAGGAGAAAAGATGGCTCCTCCAGACTTGAGTTTGTTTCTGTTAGGTAGCATTAGGCCAAGGAAAATAGTTTATTTCTACTGATCCTTTTCTTGCCTTCAATAGCATTTCATTACCATATTCATTGTCTTTCATTATCACATTTGATCTGTGCTCATATGAGATTGCTTCTTGGTTTCTTTGGACTTCCTAGAGCATGTCATCTTGTGCTCTACAGACTAAATTGATGAAATTTTCTTTCCTCTTAGGTTGCTAAGTCATGGATGGTTATTCTTTTGGCCAGCAGTCAACAAATCCCAACCATAATGTTGATGGTCACTATTATCTGCATTTTCCTTGAATGATTAAAGGATGCTGTTTCTGTAGTAAATCGTTTGGAATGATTCTGATGATGCAATTAGATTTATGAATTAGGGTTTCTCTTTACTCTTGCTCTAGGAATTCAATTCTTTCTTTTTCAGGCCTTGAATCTGGGCAATACTTAGGAATTAGGGAAATAAAATCCAGTGAGAAATTTCTGTGTAATAATGTAAGCTTCATAAGGTTCTGAGCCAAGAATTCTAAGGAAATTTTATTTCTGATGTATGTATTCATGGATGTTCTAAAGATTAATGTATGTCTTTCAGGGCACTAAGGTAAATTTAGAGCACTAAAGAAGTCATTTGGTCCTTCAAGATGGCGACTAGAGGGAGGAGGCAGAAAGCGTGCCTCCTAAAGTAAAATCTTGGAGAGACACTGGAGATACACCTTACAGGAAAAACCACCAAGAAGAGGCAAAACTCCGACTCCTCCACACCCCCAGCCCACACATAGCATCTCCACTTCACGTTAAATGGAGAAACCAGGAGGGCTCCCGGGCCGCCAGACACCAGCGCCCAGATGGCTTGGGAAGATGCAGACCACAAGGTGAGCTAAGTGGCACATGGTGCTCCCAAAAACAACCCTGGGCCAGATCAGCATAGCCCCCTGGACAGACTGACCCCCTACCCAGGGAAAAAAAGAGAGAAAAATCAAACTGAATAAACAACAACAAAAAAGGACACATAGCAAAAAGGGTGGGGCACCCTGTGTGCTGAAGGGGGGGGAGGGGCAATCCCTCACAGAACTGTAAATAAACACGCTGGGTGGAGAAGGCAGGAGTGGCAGCTCCTGCCCAGAAACCAAGAGCGGGAAAGCTTGTAAAAGTGACTGTGTGAGGAAAACTCCACAGGAGAGGGGAGAAGGGTCACTTCCCATGTGCACTGTAAATAAACACACCAGCCACAGAAGGCGGGTATAGCGCCATCTCCCCCAGTGTGCTTGGAGAGGGGAAAACTTGTAACAGTGGCATTCCCACCCAGGAGAACTCTGAATAAACAAAGCCTGAGGGGCTAGGTGAGTGCTAAGCTCACTCCTGAGATCTGCAGTCAGTAAAGCCTCCAGCAACAGCAGGCTGACAGCAGCGGGCAGGTGAGCCACAGCCTCAGATAGACATTCACAGAGCTGTCTCTAGAACCTTTTTTTTTTTCTTTTTTCCTTTTCTCTTTCTTTGATGAGACAATGAATGAACTACAACCTCATGCTGAAAGACTTACTGAAACTGTACTGCATTTCAACTTGGGATATTTTGTTTTTTGGTTTTTTCCCCTTTGATGAGACAATGACAGAACTTCTTCTGAGACACCATCTCCAGGATTGGAGGCTGAGGATGAACACCAAAATTATTAAGACTGAAACTTTATTGCATCTGAACTTGGGGATTTTTTTCAATCCTCTCTCTGTCTCTCTAATGCCTGTTTAGCTTACTGTTGATCAGTACACTATCTCTCCCTGTTTATTTCTTTGACACTGGTTTTTTTTTGTTGTTGTTTGTTTTGGTTTTTTTTTTTTACTTGTTTGTTTTTCCCTTTTTCTTTATCTTCTTTGCTTTCCCTCTCCTCTCACCCTTCCCATTCTAGATATCACCCATTGTTACTATTACAAGCTAGAAAATACTTAATTGCACACAGTACAGGGACAGTAACAATAGCAAGGGCAATAATGGGAAGATGGAAAAAAGAGGGAAACCAGAATCCCCCCAGAAATAAATTAGTATAGGAAGCAGAGGGAAATGAATAAAACAGATACTCAGATCCAGACTCCAACAAAATGAAGATAAACTATGCCAAAGAACCCAATGAAGCCCACAAGCACAACCTGAAAGAAGAAATCCTGCAAGTAATCAATGAGAATTTTATAGAGATGATACTGGATATAGTCAACCAAAATGTACAGGGAACACTCAAGAAATTCCAAGA